CGTCGGAGGACAACAGTGTATCCGGTCCGCGCAGCGGGGCGCTCAGTTATCACACGCACTCAATCATTCGAGCGCTCAAAGGTGTCGACGAGAATGGATATTCACGATATGTAATCCCTCTCTCACTGTACTCCGACAAGACACACACAGACGGTCTTCAGAAATGGACGGCATACCCTCTTATGATGTCGCTAGTCGACCACGCGTCGGAAGCCACTCTGCTGGCCTATCTTCCCGTGCTTCATCATCGACCCCGTGACAAAGGATGAGGTCTACAGTCCACCGCATTTAGGAAGCGAAAGGCCGTCATCTTCCACAAGGCCCTTTCGACGGTCTTGCAAGCTGCGAAGGAGGCATCGCACGACGGCATCACAATACCGTCGACGCGATTCGGGGACGTGACTGTCCACCCTTTCCTCCTCAACTATATACAGGACTACCCAGAGCGATGTGCGCTGGCGAATGTGAAGTTTGGTGCATGCACCGTGTCAAAAACGGACGTCGATATCGTGGCCGATTTCACGGACAGCAGGAGATCCCAGACGCTGGAAACTCAACTCGCAGCAGTTGTATTCACGGCGGACGACGATGACGTGCGCCATGCGACGGAAAGGCGAATGGCGGAGTTGGACATGCATAGGCATGTTGAACAGAACGGCCTTTGGGGGTTCTACAGGGGGCCGAGTGGCGATGATCCTCAGCTAGACTACCACCTCGCATTGCAACCAGACCGTATGCACACGATCGAACACGGCATATTCCTGCACATGATCGACGCATTCAGCGCGGCAGCCTTCTAGAAGTTGTCAAACACACCGCATACAGAGATCCGGAAGGAACTCGATGCGAGATTCCAATGCGTTAGTGAGAGATGTACGCGAACATATCCCCAACTTGTGCTGCCCGTGGCCACAGACAGCGATTTTTTTTCTCGAGAGGGACGCTTCGAGGCGAAGCAAAACCGCTCTGTGATGACAGTGTGCGTGTTCCTCATTTTTAATATAATCCCGCGCTCGACAGGCAAGGRCATTACCGCTTGTTTTGTTAAGCTGATGCAAATGTACGTACAATTGTTTCGGCGCACAGCACACACTCGAGCTTCCCTCGATGAATGTGACGCGTTGATGACGGACTTCGTAACGACCATCAAAGCGAAATTGGGAAGATACCAACCATCAAATTGGAAACTCCCGAAGTTGCATGATCTTATGCATATGAGAACGAGTATTGAGCGATCTGGTGTGACCGACACATTCGCTGCAGACGTTTGGGAGCATCACCACAGGAGATTCTGCAAACAACCGTATATGTCATCGAACAAAAGGAAAGCGTCAACCCAGATGGTCAACCACGTGCGCCGGTCGCTGGCGTTGCAGGAGGAGACCAGATTTGTGAGAAAAAGGAGGAAGAAAGCCGTCGAGAATAGGTCTTCTGTGACGGACTGTATGACAACAGGAATGAACACCCTGGCACTACGCGATACATCAATCCTTCAACTGCGCTGGTTCGACATCGATCAGGACCAGATATGCGAGGTGGAAGGCATTGACAGTCATGCGTGTAAGATACTTGAAGAGTTCCCTTTCAAAACCGATTTCGAGCAGCGATTACGACGTACATGGCGGAGAATGGTTGTCAACCTCCTCCTGATGATCTCGCTATACACACACGAACACATCTTGTCATCGCTTGCACGCAGGACGGAACAAACAGGGGCACATTTGTTCAAACTGCACGAGCGTCGCCGCGGTTTCACGGGAGACCAGTGCACAGCGACGTCGCAATAAGAGCAGCCAACGAATGTACGTGGTTCGCATCAGTGGCCATGTTTTTCGTCGTCGATGCACCCACAGACGGCGGTAATGTGGAACACAAGTGCGYTTTTGTGCAGTGGTACACAGAGGTTGACAGTGAACGGGAACACGTGACAGGTTGCAAGGAATTGAAATGGGAGAAGGCGAATGGACATCAACACAACAGCGTCGTTTCAACCGACACTATCGTGGACACCGTTCACATTGTTCCGCGCTTCTGTAAACCACAATGGGGATCGAAAATGCATGCGGGCCACCGTGAGGACTGTTTTTTTTTAAACAAGTACATATTGTAGAAGGAATAAATTTGAAGTTTGAGAGAGAGAGAGAGAGAGAGAGAGAGAGAGAGAGAGAGAGAGAGAGAGAGAGAGAGAGACTCATTTTAATTACGAGAAAATCTGTAAGTCTGTCTATTTCTTCTCCCGACAAGATGGTAATGCCGTTCTCGGCCGAAGTAAATTTTTYTAGTAGCTATAAACAACTATGATGTCTAACGCTGACATACCTACGAAGGAGAACCAAAACCTCATGCGAAACGAGAGTGTCCCCAAAAGTTGACTACTGCGTGACATTCACGTCATCAATAGTGACATTTGATTCAGTTTTGGCACGCAGTAGCCTACCTCTCTCTCTCTTTCTCTCTCTCTCTCTCTCTCTCTCTCTCTCTCTCTCTCTTTCTCTCTCTCTCTCTCTCTCTGGCGCGAACTCTCTCGTCCCCACCTATCTGCAAAGGGAAAATAAACAAATAAACAAATAAAAAAATTATAGCATCTCGACAAAAACCATTCACCGTTGCTAAAAAACATAACTAATCCTCTGTGTCTTCTGCCTCTCCCTACGTGTGTGATTATGAACACAAAGTTGCGACGTCGCAAAGCGGGGAGGGGGCGAAGGGGGAGAAGCGACACGGAACACAGAGTAACAGGGTGCAGGTAAGAGAAGGGGATCAACGATGGCAGAGTCGCACAACAGTAGTAATTGGTCGGCCGCTGTGAAGGGGCCATACCAGCGCACCGAAACGGGCAATGGTGCCAGGGAGGGAAAACCGTTGTTGCCATTGAGCAGCCAGAGGTCAGCACAGAGCTGGTAGGACATGTTATCAGACCCATGGTGCGCGGAAATGTACGATTTACTAACTGAGGGTGAAGCAGAGTGGCCCAGTCCTGCGGGGAACAGTCTTCCTGTTGTATGGGAAAACGGAAAGCAGGGGACAAGACAAGAGCGAGAGATGAGCAGACCGACATCACTGACGTGGTCGAAATGTTCCCTTTTACATGGAAATCTCCGCAACACGCCATACCCGTATCAGAATTCGACATTGAACGGTTGTCGGACGACGGATGGCTAAACGACAATATTATTGACATTTATTTGCAGTCTGTGTATGAAGAGGTTGGGCGGGGCCAGGACAGGTCTTATGTTCACGTCTGCACAACTTTCTGGCACCCCGAGGTCGTCGCCAATCAAAAATTTGGGAAATTGACGAAAAAAGGATGGGAGGACGCAATTAAGAAGAGACCACARAAATTGCATCGACTGTGCAACGAACTRCGACGCRCGCCGGTCAYTGTGATACCARTGAACCGTAACAAACACTGGATTCTTCTTTTGTTGCTAAATGCGAGGTCCTTCTTGGAGGTCACTGCGGACATCCGCATATCCGACCCTCCCATTGCTATCGTCGTTGACTCAATAAGAGAAAAAAACCGAGACGAATGGACGGCGTTGCGAACACTTTTGTGGCACAAGTACCTTCATGAGGCATCAAATTTGCAGGCTTTGACACCCGAAACGGTTCATTTTTCGTGGGTGACATGCAGGGATCTGGCAGGAAGTAAACTTGTGCATGCGGAATGCCCGCAACAGAACAATCACACGGACTGTGGTGTTTATGTGTGTTGTATCGCTACCACTGTAATACAATTTCTTGGAAGAACCGCGGAAAAGGATCTGACGGCCAAGGACGTACTGAAAGTTATCAAAACTACAACGGTGAACGAAAGAACTGTTCGATAATTTCGCGAGTCGATGGTGGACCGGCTTGCTGCCTGTGCTGCAGTCACAAAAGGCAACGACACTTTAGCGACTTCACAAGTAGCCACAGCGTTGCAAAGCATAATAAACAGAAAAGAGAGCAACACTTCCATGGAATGAGATGTTGTCCAGGTCACCGAATGCGATGCGAGGAAAGTTGACTACTGCGGGCCAAAATGACATGAAATGTGCGATGTGCGGACATGATTGGGCCGCAGTAGCCAACCTTATCGCAATGAAGGACGAGGCAACTATTCCGATGATTTTTTTTTTAGAATTTTTTTTTTTTCCCAGATTATGCGATCTCCTACCACCTGACAATACAAATGCAGTCACTCTGACGCACAAAGAGGTTGCTCACTTGCATGACTTCGCAATTTCAAATCTCTCTCTCTCTCTCTCTCTCTCTCTCTCTCTCTCTCTCTCTCTCTCTGCGTGACAAACAACATCACTAACGCATTTGTGGTTCTTATTCCACTTTGATTCATGTGGGAAAAAAGGGGTGATGGCTGCAAGGCCAAAATACGAGGATTTGTGCAGGTCTTTGAAAGTCGCGAGAAAGAAGGACAAGTGCCGGAAGAAATCGAGGGTCGAAAAGAAGCAGTCGAAAGAGCATCGCAGAAGCGGCGCCGGCCTCTCTGCGAAAACGGAGCACAAGCGCAGCCGCAAATCCGGATCGAAAGTTACAGTCCCTTCGAGTGCACGGGAAATTTCAACGCTGAAAGAACGTAACGAGTCGCCCCCCTCGACCCCCGTCCGGGGAAAGCGCGGAAGCGGCGCCGAGAACCGTCCGCCAAGGGCCCCGGAAAAAAAGATCGCAGGATGATAGAAGCGCGACTACGCACCGCAGAACAAAGAAGAGAATATCCTACAAAGACGACAGAATAGTGGAGACAATCGATATTAGAGGTTCTGACGACAGACACAGCGGACCCCAAGTGGAAGAAGAGGAGGAACACGACCGTTCCGCGCCAAAGAAGTCAGATGGTGCAGAGGACGAGGAGCCAGGAAACGAGGGAGATGACAGCGATTCTTCCCGCAGACAATCGAAAGACACCGATGACGACGACGACAGCGATGGCAAGTCGGCCAGCGAGAGAACCGACGAAGACCAGAGCGTCGCTTCGGAAAGAGGTGGTTCGTCATTTCCTTCGAGAACGCTGCGCAGAGAAGAAGAACGACAAGCACACAATGGCAGCGACACCGAGGAGCGTGTCGGTGACAGAGAAATCGTACAGCACGTCAGCGCCGCCGAAAAAGGTAAAAAACCCCGTGTCGCACTGACTCCCCTCCCACTCCGATCACATAATCCCGTGCCCCCACGCGGTGCACGCCTTTACGCACGAAGAAGTGTTTTTGTAAACGCACAGCTGATAGCCGAATCTTCAATTTTGCAAGTGTTGTATTCAAAACAAGGCGCTGAGTTGTTAACACTCTCCTGTGCGTTATGTTTTCTGTTTCCCACCGATCGCAACGTCACGAAAGAAAGTGCGTGCAAGCGGCGAAGCCATGCAAGGACCGAAGGACGAGGGCGCCGCATTCGCGAAGAAAATGAAGGGCAAGCTGTTGCATTCCGTCGCCAAAGCCTTTGCGTTCTCTGCGGCAAACGACGCAACTCTGTACCCGACAGAGGACGCGTTTTTCGCGGCGGTGCAAGCGACGGCGAAACTGGCAGGGGAGACAGCAGAGGAAGGGCTGCGGTCTCACATAGCAGAGTGCGAGATTCGAGTTGTCATAGGGGAATGCAACAGAATAATGACGACGATCCGCGGAGAGATTGCATGGCAGCTGAAACATTGGTTTTGGGCTGAAAAAGGGATTCCGCTCGTCGGATCGCAGCAAACGGACCACCACCTCCCCGCTCGCAACAAGATGCGCACCGAGATGAAGGAGAACAAGACGTGGAGACGGAGCGGCGACGATCCGTGGGGCGCCCCCGCCTTCAAGACGACACTCTTAAAAGTTTTTCAGATGAGGAAGGAAGGCCGGAACCTGGGCGTCACCCTGCAGCAACTGACTTTTGCAGAGATGGTCATTCAATGTGAGATAGAACAGACAACGAAGACGACACGAGCTGCGGAGCAGATAGAAAAATTGGTATCTATAAAGCAGGCAATCGTCTCATCTCTCTGTAGCCGAGACATGGTAATGAGTTTTTCCGTCTTCAAACTGGACCGTTCCGCATCCGTGGCTGAGAAGGCAACAACGCTCTTTCGCTCTTGCACGCCGTCTCTCCACAGGCCTAGGCCTCCAAGCACCACAATAACGGATGACGATTACGACATCGAGTTCATTCTCCCTCAGAGTACAGCCGCCGGAGACGGGGACAGGCGCACCGATAGCCTGTGTGCGGCACCCTGAACAACGAGGGACAGTTTGGCGACATTTCAACATGGAAGGGAGGATGCGGGGCAATGACCAAACGATGGAACGAAAGGTTCTTTTTTTAGACGTTTTGAACCAGGAGATGCAATATCGAAGGCCACAGTCGGTGCAGGAGAGAGAGAGAGAGAGAGAGAGAGAGAGAGAGACAGAGAGAGAGAGAGAGAGAGAGAGAGAGAGAGGGAGAGAGAGAGAGAGAGAAAGATGTGAAGACCTTCAGTTTTGCAGAAGAGAGAGAGAGAGCGAGTGCTTGCACGCACGTGCACCGCGTGAGGATTGCGAGCCGTATGCTCTATACAGTCTGATAACTACACAACTTCTGTTATTTTTGATACACAATTGTACAAACATTTGTAATGCTCATCTTTGTGCGATTGAGTGGTGTGTGCGGCTGACTCTGTAATGGTAACATGACACGACAATGTGTTTTGTCAAGCTATGGTGAAACTTGTTTGTTGCAGGGCTGGGTGACGTGGACTGAGGCTCCCCACGCCAAATCGCCTTATATAGAATAGGACACAGCAATCTTAGGGGCACAGAAAAGGAAGGTTGGCTACTGCGTGCCAAAATGTGACGGACCCTGCCGTGTTGGACAATTTGCGGCCCGTAGTAGTCAACCTTGTTTGTACGAGGGCAGCCCAGCATTTAATCGACGGTCACCCACGTCTGCTCCGTACACGTGAGAGAATAAGTCCTAAAATTTTGTCAACCTGTGGTGAAAAGTGTTTGTTGCAGGGCAGGGTGACGTGGACTTCGGTTCCCCACGCACAGCAATCTTAGGGGCACAGAAAAGGAAGGTTGGCTACTGCGTGCCAAATTGTGTCGGACATCGCCGTGTTGGACAACTTTCGGCCCTCAGTAGTCAACCTTGTTTGTACGAGGGCAGCCCAGCATTTAATCGAAATGTGTTCGTCGGACACCGAAAGTCAACCTTGTTTGTACGAGGCCTGAAATGTGTTCGTCGGCAGCCTACAGCATCTTTCTCTCTCTCTCTCTCTCTTTCTCTCTCTCTCTCTCTCTCTCTCTCTCTCTCATCATCAGTCTCTGATCCCTCAATTCCATCAGTCACTGCAATCATCACGTTGTCAGGCGGCCACAAGTAGTGCGCCGCCTGAAAATGGCGGTTTTGGGACTTAGGCTCAAGGGCGAGTCCGTGTTTTTACGGTACTTTGGTCTGACCGGGCAACAGAAATGATGAGAACTCAGGGTGTCCCTGATTTTGGGCGCACTGGATCTTAAGAGTAACCCTCAAAGATGGCGAGATGGATGGCCACCCCCGACGCATCTAGGGACTGTCAATTCTAGCCGTCCAGAGGGTTAGATTCGGATTGGCCTGC